AATCACTTGTTAGGCTACCAAGACCCAAGTAGTTGCTGTGTCCTTGCTGGCTGCACCAATGAAGAAAGAACTGAGGTGCCCCATGCAACGAAGTTTATTAAAGCTATAAATTACACATTTATTCAAGCTGTTTGGCAACAAGGCCATCTCCGGACACTTGCTTTTGCGCATGTGTAATAGAAATTTTATTCAACAACTCTCCCACAATCTCTGTTTGTAGAATGGATTACACTTGCAAGACTTGTTCGAAAAAGTTCACTCAGCTGAGAAGTTTAACTCGTCATGAACGGTCTGTTCATAGAGAGAAGAAGTTTATTTGTGATCAATGCAGTGCGTCCTTTACACGGAAGGATGATTTGAAGCGGCATCAGAAGCGACATCAAGGAATCACTACTCATACTTGTGAGAACTGCAGAAAAAAGTTTTACCGTCGTGATAATTTAGTAGAGCATCAAGTTCAATGCCAAGGGAACCCTTTGAAAAGAGGACGTGACGAAGACGATAGCAGTCGAGCCCCGAAGAAAGTACGAGTCGAGAATCAAATTGGAGAAGGTGAGCCAGATAATCAAGTCCAAGAAAACAACAACCCCTGCAGTTCAACAACAGCTTTTGAAGATTCCTTGAAGAAAATCGAGTTGAAGCCACGAAAAGATCAAAAGCAAGATATGTCTCGCTTCTTACGCGGCAAGACAAGACCGATTCTGACACATCTTTCCAACGAGTTAGTAGAGAAAAGAGGCATTAAATGGTTCATCAGCGTTAAAGTGCGGTTCATTAAACCTAAACCTGACGGTGAAGACCTGAGTACCGAACCCCATTTCCGCAGTCTTTGTATGAAAACCGTAAATCAACACGAACTCGATAATCAACTAGACGAAGCCAAGCAGAAAATCACCCAATCGCTAGTGTTATTTCAAAAAGAAGGAAGTGGTTGGGTCTTGGACAAAATACTTCATCTTGACCTGAGTATAGCTCAGTATACTCCAGTGAGGGGATCCAGCTACATTCCTCTTCCCAACAAGCTCAAGACTAAGAAAGCTATTATCAACATCAGGAATTCTGATAACAAGTGTTTCATGTGGTCTATTCTTGCTGCTCTACATCCAATTCCATACAGTTTCAAGATAAACTTGATTGCAGCGGTATTGAATTTCCTGTCACTGTTGACAAGATTGAAAAATTTGAACGTCAGAATAACATCTCAGTCAATGTATTTGGCTTCGAAGACGTGTTCTTTTCCTTGCATATCACAAAGGAACACTTTGATATCCACGTCAACCTGTTACTATACTCCCAGGGAACAACCAGACATTACTGCCTCATCAAAGATCTAAACAAGTTTCTCTACAGTCAAAATCGGAAAAAGGCTCGAATGTTCTATTGCCGGTACTGTTTACATGGATTTATCAGAGAAGACCTACTCCAAGATCACGAACCCCACTGCTCACAACACGGTCCACAGCGTATCGAGCTCCCAGACGAGGACAATGCAACACTATTTTACAAAGATTACCATAAGCAGTTGAAAGTGCCCTTTGCGATCTACGCCGACTTCGAAAGTCTTACAACAAAGATTGACTCGACCCAACCTAATCCTGAAAAATCCTTTACTGAAAAATATCGGCACCATCAACCTTGTGGATTTTCATACATCGTAGTGTCTGACTATGACAAGCATTCCAAATCACCTGTTGTTTATCGTGGAGAAGATGCAGTCGATAAGTTTCTGGAGTGTTTAGAAGAAGAGCAAAAATATATTCAAGAAAAACTTGATTTCGTCGAGCCAATGCGAATTGAAAGAGATGAAGAGCAGGCGTTTCAAGATGCAGTCAATTGTCATATCTGTGGGTTGAGTTGGGAGCTGATCGTGTTCGTGACCACTGTCATCTCACCGGAAAGTTTCGTGGAGCTGCACACAACGACTGCAATTTGAACTACAGTTTTACTGGACGAATTCCGGTTATTCTTCACAACCTACGCGGCTATGACTCTCATCTGATCATGCAAGGGCTTGGTAAGCTCAAAGACAAGAAGATAAACTGCATCCCGAATAACACCAAGAAGTACATCTCTTTCTCCATCGATAATTTGGATTTTATCGACTCTCTGCAATTTATGAATGCATCACTAGAAAAGTTAGTATCGAATCTAGCAAAGAACGGTGCTGACAAGTTCCCAACTCTAAAGAAATACATTGATAGCGATAAAGTGCCTTTACTGCTGAGAAAAGGCGTCTACCCTTACGACTACATGGATTGTGCGGAAAGATTTGCAGAGTCAACCCTACCACCGAAAGAGTCATTTTACAACGTACTGAACGATGAACAAGTTTCAGATGAGGATTACGCCCACGCAACGACTGTGTTTAATAGATTCGCGTGCCAGAACATGGGTGATTACCATGATTTGTATTTGATGTCTGATGTTCTTCTCCTTGCGGATGTGTTTGAAAATTTCCGAAGCGTCTGCTTGAAAGCTTACAACTTGGATCCTTGTCACTTTTATACGAGTCCTGGACTAGCTTGGCAAGCGTGTTTGAAAATGACTGGCGTGGAACTCGAGCTTTTGACCAATCCAGATATGTATTTATTCATTGAGGAAGGTCTTCGCGGCGGAATTTCGATGATAAGTAATCGATTTAGCAAGGCAAACAATCCCTATGTTCCTGACTACGATCCCAAGCAGGAGAATTCCTATGTGATGTATTTCGACGCTAATAACCTCTATGGCTGGGCCATGTCACAACCGCTACCAACGGGTGAATTCGACTGGCTAACCGACCAAGAGATTGCAGAACTTGATATCACAGACGTTGCAGATGATAACGAGCAAGGTTATGTATTAGAGGTAGACCTTCATTATCCCTCCGAATTGCACGATCTTCATAATGATTACCCTCTAGCACCTGAGAGAATGAAAGTTTCCTCAGAGATGTTGTCACCATACTGCCAGGAACTGTCAGAATGTTTGAATCTTCGTGGTGGTGCTGTACCTAAATTGGTTCCGAATCTTCGAGACAAGACCAACTACGTAGTCCATTACCGCAACTTAAAGCAATACCTGGCACTTGGTATGAAGTTGACAAAGATCCACCGCGTTATAGTATTCCAACAAAGCCCATGGCTAAAGTCTTATATCGACTTTAATACCGAAAAACGAAAGCACGCAGAAAACGACTTCGAGAAAGATTTCTACAAGTTGATGAATAACTCGGTGTTTGGAAAGACCATGGAGAATCTAAGGAAACGGGTCAACGTCAAACTCGTCAACGACAAGGCTAAACTATCCAAATTAATAGCATCCCCATCGTTTGACTCCTTCCGCATATTTTCCGAGGATCTAGCAGCCGTGAATATGAAGAAAAGGAAACTCTACCTAAACCGTCCAATTTATGTGGGATTTGCAATCCTGGATCTCTCTAAAGTACTCATGTACCAGTTTCATTACGAGTACATGAAACCTAAGTATGGATGCGACGCGAAGTTGTTGTTCACAGACACAGACAGCCTCTGTTATGAAATCAAGACTAACGACATTTATCATGATATGCTGGAAGATAAAGAGCTATTCGACACATCTGAATACGCACAAAACCATCCATTGTACAGCCTAACGAACAAGAAAGTACTTGGCAAGATGAAGGATGAAACGCATGGCGTTCCAATTCAAGAGTTCGTCGGTTTGAGGCCAAAGATGTATTCTATTCTCTATACCGAAAACGACAAGCAGGTGGAGAAGAAAACAGCTAAAGGGATAAAGAAGTCAGTAACGAAGCGAAAGCTTCGTCATGCTGGTTACAGAGAATGTTTGTTTGAGAAGAGACAGACAATGACTAGCATGAATCAAATTCGAAGTGAAAGCCACGAGATCTATTCGATTAAATTGAATAAGATTGGTCTTAGTCCATATGACGACAAACGCTATATTTTGAACGATGGAATGAACACGCTCGCTTATGGGCATTACAAAACGAAATCATGAGAATATTTTACATATTCAGTTTTAGTAACATATTATATAATAAACGTATTGTTCTTGTTAAATACACTTCTTTATGGATTTTTAAATGTTGAACACCTATGTAAATGTTATTAAATACATAGAGAAATAACAGTTGAATAACTATGTTTGTTAATACATAGAAAAATAACAGTTGAATAGGTACCTATGTTTGTTAAAGGATGTGTGTCAACCGTCATGCTTTGCATTGTTATTGTTTACAATCTTACCTCAGAAAGTGATTGTACGGCAATTAATAACGATAAAAAACATTTCTGTGTTCCATTCTTAGGATAAGTAAGTTAAAATGAGCACGTGAAGCCATATGATGGTTGAGTATTTGTATGGATTCAAAATAAAACTTGATTTTCTCAACCATTAAAAGGCCACAAAGTTTATTTGAGCGCGCAAAGCATGACGGTTGACACACATTCTTTAATACGTAGAGAAATAACAGTTGAACACCTATGTTTGTTAATACATAGAAAAATAGCAGTTGAAAAAATATTATTTAAACAAGATCGTTTGAATGATCTAAGTGTATTCAATCTTCATTGAAATGCTTTTCAGGTGTAAGTTTCCATTCGAAAAAAGCAAATATTTCCAACTAAGACCCATACTATTTGCACTGAGCTGTTGTGTTTGGACTATGGCCATGTGTTTATCTATAGGAATTCAATTCCATAATTTGTGATAAACAGAAACAAAATAACCATATGTGTCTCAAAACATTTCACTTGAAGTTTCTCGATATTATAAATTACTCTACTCTCACTGTCGTGCGGACCCCTTACCCATGCAGAGTTTCAGGGACACCCAGGACAAAAAAAAGTCTCGCACGGGACAAAACGTCTCCCCCAGGGACCCAAAGTGTCCCTCAGAGGTGTTCAGGGACACCCGGGACAAAAAAAGTCCCGTGAGGGACTTTTATAAGAGTCGGGAGTCAAGCAAGGTCTTTATCATTCCGCTGATGAACATTCAACACCTTTCCACTCGTGTGTTTTTCAAATTTTATCCTTTTTAAAATTTTTTCTTCCTATGTGGAACTTTGATTATTCATTAAGACTGACGCATCCATAGTGCATAGGTCTCGATCTTTACTTTGGCGCAATGCTGGCGCGCGTTGTCCTCGATGTGGCTGCCACAGGTTTCCAACCGTATAAGTTGACCAAATAGTTTTTCGGAGGTGGAAAGCTTTCCATGCACTATGGATGCGTCAGTCTTAATGAATAATCAAAGTTCCACATAGGAAGAAAAAATTTTAAAAAGGATAAAATATGAAAAACACACGAGTGGAAAGGTGTTGAATGTTCATCAGAGGAATGATAAAGACCTTGCTTGACTCCCGACTCTTCTAAAAGTCCCTCATGCACGGGACTTTTTTTGTCCCGGGTGTCCCTGAACACCTCTGAGGGACACTTTGGGTCCCTGGGGGAGACGTTTTGTCCCGTGCGAGACTTTTTTTTGTCCTGGGTGTCCCTGAAACTCTGCATGGGTAAGGGGTCCGCACGACAGTGAGAGTAGAGTAATTTATAATATCGAGAAACTTCAAGTGAAATGTTTTGAGACACATATGGTTATTTTGTTTCTGTTTATCACAAATTATGGAATTGAATTCCTATAGATAAACACATGGCCATAGTCCAAACACAACAGCTCAGTGCAAATAGTATGGGTCTTAGTTGGAAATATTTACTTTTTTCGAATGGAAACTTACACCTGGAAAGCATTTCAATGAAGATTGAATACACTTAGATCATTCAAACGATCTTGTTTAAATAATTTTTTTTCAACTGCTATTTTTCTATGTATTAACAAACATAGGTGTTCAACTGTTATTTCTCTACGTATTAAAGAATGTGTGTCAACCGTCATGCTTTGC